AACAAATTTACCTCGTTTCAGTCGAAACAGAAAAGGAATGAAAGCTGCCTCGTGAAGTTCTGTAAAAAAATAGAATAACCGCAAAATCTTTTCCTCGTGAGTCTAATTATTGTGCCAAGCATGATAATACACCTCCATCATGGAAATGAGTCTGCTGAAAGCTAGACGAAATTACGGCACTAGACCAAAGGCACTAGCTCAAATGAATGGCACTTTGGCACTAGCTCAAACGAAACTAGCCAAACTGGCGCTAGACCAGCTGAAGCACTAGACCAATTGCACTAGCTCAAAAGGCACTAGACCAAATGATGCTAGACGAAGAGAGTGGCACCCGGACCCACAACCCTCTCAGTGGTGATAATCCGGCGGGGTGCACATAAAATCGCACAAGTATGCACAAAATATTGACGCAGATTATAAAACTTTGGACGATAACTTACGGCCGATCGGGTGTTAAAATCAGCGAGCCCTGAGTGGATCGCTCGCCGACTAGTCGAAGAGTCGGAGTCGGAGAATCGAAAGCGGTCGGACGGGATCGGGCGTTGTCGAGTAGATCGGGAGGAATTGTGAACAGCACGAGTGCAACTTTATACCTATATAAAGTGGGTTGTAGCAGGAACCCCAAAAGGGGGCAGCAACCCCAACATCTCTGAAAATGATCATTAGGCCTATTGGTGTCGCATGGAAAATAATTTACTCAATTAGCCCAAGCGCACTGCGCAACCCTAATATTTTCTATAAAAAAGTTATGTACACTAAACACTTCTGGTGAACAGTGTCCCAAGCTTCAGATTTCCCTTGGGTGTCTGAGTGGAAAATTCTAGCAACCCAAAATGTGAGAGTGGAAAATTATCCATTCTTATTCTTGAGTGTCATCTTCAGCCCAAATGAGAAATTTTTGGAACGCTGACTGTGAACGGTTCGAAATTCGTCCGACTGGTCAGATGTGTGACTGCAAGCATCATACCGGTCGTGAAGACGTATATTATCGCTTGCAGACTTCAATCGGCTGGAAGTCGCCGACACTACCTCTAGTTTGACTCTGGCTTGTATCGTGTCTATCGGCGAGCCGTCTGAGATCGCTCGCAGGCCTATCCCCGACCGTCTGAACTGGTCTGTTCTTTATTCGTAGTTTTTCTTGTAACCGACTGGTCTGCGGCAGATGCTTATGTGACTGCAACCACTCGTTAGTCCAATCCGGTGAAGTGTGACTGAGGCTTAAAGGGACTATCCCACCTTTAACATGGGGTTTGAGTTGAGATAGCCAAGTTTGCGGCGAGGTTCAGAAACCACTATCTATCTAGGTTGCAACCCCCGCGGCCTCTTGGTGTTGAAGAAATTCGTTCCCTTGACCCTTCATTTGAAAATGGGCCTTGTACAAGGCCCTATCTTCAACATGGAGCGACCGTTAGTGTGACGTCACCTCGTTTAGTCATTCTGATTTAAATGGGTTTGTTCGTTGAAAAATCGCTTAAAACTTGGTCTGAACTTTGTTGTGGTGCCTACAGAGTAAAAAGAATCAGCTTTATGACAGTAATGTGGCCTGGGGAAGGAGGTAATTTTGGACTGTGACGTCACATATTTGAAAGTTTGTGTTTGGAATATGGGAAGCCTAAGATGTTTAATGAAAAATAAATGCCAGAACCGTGTTCCTGGTCATCCAATCTATAAAGTCGGGCACAATTTAACTGGTTTTAACAACATTTTAGAAGGTGGGATAGTCCCTTTAACCAGGGGCGTCGTTTTGTATAGGCCTGGGAGTGCCCGAGCACTACCAATGTTCAGCTGAGCACTACCAATGTGTTGTTGAGCACTACCAACATTTTTCTTCACTTATTGAGAAAATTGCATTCAAACATGTCATACAAATAAAATGAATGAGGTTCTTATGTATAAAATCAACATGATAGCAAGTAACTTCAATGGTAAGTGGTAACTATTGATGAAAATCTATAGACTTACTCCACAAGTAGATTGAATTTGAATTGGTTGACCAATTCAATCTTCTTGTAGCGTACCTAAGTCCATAAATTTCCATCAATACCTAGGTATCATTTTCACTTTCCACATCATGTCATTACGTCAAGTAATTTCAAGTTATGGGGTACCTACCTACCTACCTACCTACGAAGTTTCACAATAGACTCAGGGGCGTCGTTTTGTATAGGCCTGGTAGGGCCCGAGCCTTACCAATGCTTATTTGGGCCCTACCAATGTTCGCTGAGCCCTACCAATCTTTTGTCACTTATCAGTTGATAAAAAATCAAAATAAACAGATAAGCAAATATTAAATAAGCACATATGCAAGTACATAAATAAGGTTCTAGCCACAGTAGGTGCATGTAGCTGACAATGAGGTTTCACGTGTCTAGGACTCCGGTCCTTAATGGATTTTAAGAGGCTCGAAAACGCAATTGGTTATAGAGGTCCATAACTGCCTCTGAGTCCCGCATACCACGCGACCGCCCCTAATAGACCCCAATCCGTCTCCACACCAGCCGCTGGAGGCCCTACACCGACTTCGGAAGGTGCCGCGGTGCTCCAGAATAGGCCATAGGTATATTGATTTGAGTGGGTGATGCAGCCTGATTCCCCAGGGTTCAACGCCAGGTCATTACCGCATCAGACCCCGAAAACTGAAGCTCGTAACTACGAGGGGCGTTCAAAAAGTTTCGGGCCGAACAATGAAGGAGTTGGAATTTTGGCCTGCAAGGCGGTGTGTTAAATGATGTGTTATTGGGATGTCCACTTACGCAAATTAAGTAAGTGGCCATTAATTAAGTCTCTTCTGTGATTGATTCGGGCTTCTATTCGTAGCATAATTTGCCATTTCGGATAGGATGGGCGACGCCCAGAAGAGAGCAGTGATTCGTTTCTTAGTAGTTAGTGCAGAAAAGGCACCAAGCGTTAACCTTCGCCCTGGGCATTTTTCATAACACGGCCTGGCAGGGGGGAGGGGTCGATGCGACCCCCCTCCGCTCGTCAACTTTCCAAAACAGGGGCACACAATTGATGATGTGCGTCCATTCGATAAACATCGAGGAGAGGCTATAGGGAAGCCGACGTAAAGTGTGCACCTGATCCGCGACCACGCACCTGCGTACATGGGCGGGATGACGAACAGTGAAGCGATGAGCTTCGAGTTGTTGTCGCATCCACTTTTTTCTCTCCGAACCTTGCACACTCTGGTTAGTGATTGCCACCTCTTCCCCAACATAAGAAAATTAGCAGCGGCAACCTCCCTAACAGCAGGGAGACGAAATCAGCCGTCTTGGACGTGCAGGATGGGTCCAAAACCCACTTGGTTATGGAGGCCTTGAGGGCTCTCGCGAAGCGCTGCGCGAAATGTGTTTGTCTTAACGGTGTTTATTTGAATAAATGAACTTTTTGGTCTAATGAGTCGATGCTGTATCTCTCTGCTCCTTCATGGTCGGGCCCGTAGCTTTCTGAACGCCCCTCGTACTGTCATCCTTTTATTTTGGCAAGCAGGTCTTTCTAACTATCGTTGTGTTTCCAGTCCTCGTTAGTTGTCGAACCCTTCAATTGGCGTGGGTCTTCAAAACCGTTCCTGGCCCCGCAGCCGTCTTTTTTAGTCGGCTTGGGCCTTCAAAGCTGTTCCTGTCCCCTTTCAGCACAGCCGTCCTTTTAAGTCGATGTGGGCCTCTTTCAGAATGGCGTGCATTCCGCCGACACTATTGCCTATATAACTGCACGTTTTGTGCATGGCGTCCGGTGTGGACCCAGATTTCCAAAGTTTTTTTTTTGTGTTTTTTTTAGATTTCGGTTAGTCTTGTCAATGACCAGGGCGAAAAATAAGTGGCCGAAATCCGATGAGAAAGGCAGATTTGGGGGTACCCTACCTTGTAAGCCCCGTCATATATGGCCAGCCGCCGCCTTTGGGCACTACCAATCATTTTCGGAAAACGACACCCCTGCCTTTAACCTACGCTACGGCTGTCTCAAGAAACCGGGAATGGTGATGGTATTAGGCGGGCAACGACGATCATTCTTTTTTAAGTTGCGGGTACTGTAGTCCACTTTTTACCCCAAGGATATTGCAAACAATAGGTTGAAGTTTTTTTCACAAGAATATGTTTCACCGATGTGTATTTTACAGCCTGAAAATGTACGATAAGATCTGCTAATTCAATTTGAAATGTGTAAAATGTGAAAACTTAGATTTTTCGGAAAATTACTGGTGGGCCAAATCTTTGAGGCTGGTGGGCCATTTCGGGTCACTGGTGGGCCATTTGGCCCACCAGTTAACATGTTAGCCGAGGCCCTGCGGGCCCATGTGCCGGCCATGTGTCTCCCCGGCGGCGACACGCGGTGCGACACGCGGTGGACGGGAGCCGCGGGCCGCGGCAGTGTGAGGTCGGCGATAGCCCGTGGTGGGTGAGCGACCGTGTGGAAATACATACAGAAACTACAGTTCCTAAGACTGGACGTTTGAAATTCTCGCCGACTTGCCTGGCGGCGCAATGTTTGCCCCCCCCCCCCCCCTAAACTCAAATCCTAGATCCGCCACTGCCGGCAAGGGGCCCTCAAAGGCCGACAAGGGACACTAAAAAGCAGGTGTGGGGTTCTTATGGATAGAAGTGTGGCTCTTCGGAGTTCGGAGCACATAAGGTGTTCTTCAGAGCCCTGTGGGGCCCTTCTGAGTCGAAAGATGCCAGCGTGGACCCTTAGCCGCAAATTGGCGTCGCAAGGCCCCTCGGGCCCGAGAGGCCCCCTGATCCGATGGGGGCACGTGCCCCCTGCTCCCCCCCCCCCCCGATGCAGATAGAGAATGCAATCGGCGGTGCGGGCACAGCAATTGCAATTGTTCCTTCTCCCGTCGCGAGGTCGCCCATCCGACCCATATCCCATGATTGTCAACCCTGGGGCTCGGGTCGGCAATGTACCGGCAAGGAAATCAGCTTCAGGTGAGTAAGAAAGTTATTAAGAGTCATTAGTTGTCGTTACGTTCAGTAATATCAACTATACGGTGCCAAATGTACCCGACGTACAGCTTGGAGCCGGGCGCCGCGCGGCATCCACCAGTGACGTCACGCTAATGCTTAGCGACCGGTCCATTGGAAATCGCGGGATGATTCTACCTCTCTTGTACGGCCTTGAGAGTTAGGACTTTTTATTTGAGTGAAGGACTTTTTAGTGCCCTGTTAGGAACGTTGCATGTCATTTTTTTGTGTATAACACTTGGTGCGATGGCTACTTAGGATTTTGGCTAAGAAGTTGGTTTCGTTCATTCGAATTGAAATGTCAGAATGCTATATCAATATCCTGATCCAAATCGAAAGCTCAATTTTCTCAGAACCTTCACCAGCCCAATATTGGTATTGACGTCTTAATTTCATTCAACATTCACTCTGACTTTAATTACTGAAAGTATCTACGCATTATTTTATCTGGTAAAACTTCGTTTTTCATTATATTGTCAACATATCAGTAGGTACCTCGATCTAGTTGACAATTGATTCCCAAGATTGCTCTCAATAATTTTTGCGGGTACCTCGTCATATTACTGCAAAAATAAAGAACTATTTACTTGGGTCACCTGGTTGGCTGTGGCCTATTGTCTTTGCTTGTCAACACTTATTGAGATAGCTATGCTAGCACTCACTTTAACTCCTCGACTTGACTATGTGAACATGTTTCATGTTTTTATTCAAGTTCCCATGTTTCAGCTTTTTGCTCTGGTGAAGTTTGTGCACTAAATCAACCTGCCCAAAAGCTAGTTGTTGCTTATATGTCATTCATCTCAAGCAGAGGTTGAATAACAGGTTGATTTTTGTTTTGCTTTTAATACAGAAAGATGGGTTTATGCAAATGCAGTAAGAGGAAAGTTACTAATCAGTTTTGTTTTGAGCATCGAGTGAATGTATGTGAATATTGTATGGTTAACAACCACCCAAAGGTAAGGGGAAGCAGTTTTGTTGATTTGATGCTTCTTTTTTTAATCTTATCATACTTTTCCCTCAAATATGTTAAAGGAAAAATGCAAAAGCACTATTTGTTTTTTGCACTATGTCTGGATGTTCCCAACCCCTAACTTGTTTGCTTATGTCAACATGTGGCTCACATATCTTATATTAAGCATTTTCTAGTATAAAGCTAAAGCAAATTTAATGTTAAGTATTCTGCCTTGTTATAACTACTGTTGTTCACTGTATTATTAATTAGACTGCTCATTTCTGTGATTGTTAGCATTCCTGTATCTCAGTTAAATGTGGCATGCATGCTCACTGTTCCCTTTTCTGATTTCAGTGCATAGTGCAGTCCTACCTGAAGTGGCTAGAGGACAGTGACTGTGACCCGAAATGTCCACTGTGCAAGGAAGACCTAAAGGACCACCCTTGTGTCCGGCTCACCTGCTACCGTAAGTGTCTTAGGGAAGCTAAATAACAAGTACCAAGTACCAACCAACAAAAAAGGAATTTCTTTGCAGCAAAGGTATCATTTATATGTCATCAATGTGGCCCATTTCCTTTCTTTATGCTCATTTAGCTTAGCCCAAGACAGCATTTGGAACATAAGCAATGTATGCCACTTTTGACATATTTACAATCAATTTGCAGCAGGGAATACTGATTGTATAACAATATCGAGGATTAACAAATGAAGGAACTGTGTAGTAGTATTGGAATGAAGTTTGGTGCCTATTACAAAGTTGTCCTCAGAAACCAGTGAAACCAGACACCATGTTCTTTGTATCTCTTCCTTCATTTATTTACCACTGATATACCATGGTTCTACTGATCTATGTCCTTTATCCACCACCCCACCCTCTAGGCTCTAACCCAGCACACCAGTAACCCACAGTCCCCTGTCTGCTCCACAGACGTGTTTCACTGGTCATGTCTGAACGCGGCGGCGCTGCAGCTGCCGGCCAACACGGCTCCGGCCGGCTACCGATGTCCCTGCTGCCCGGCGCCGCTCTTCCCGCCAGCCAACATGGTCTCCCCCGTGGCGGACGTGCTCCGTGAGCAGCTGCAGAAGGTCAACTGGGCGCGCGCCGGGCTCGGCCTGCCCCTGGTGAGAGCGATCTCTCTCCCTTTCGCAGTGTGTATGGTTCGGCTTTTGGTATTATTCATCACGTTTTGGGGGTGATTTATTTATGCAGTGAGGCGCATTTTCCTAAAGTTTGTTCTGGTAAGCTTATGATTGTAAACCAATGTGACCTCAGACATGTGTCCATATCGCACTACATTTCCGGCTGTTGTGTAATGTATATCCCGTTCGAACCGCTCGTTACCTCAAGTTCACCACTCGCCGTATCGGCTCACTGGTAACACGCGCTCCCCACGTCCCGTGTTCCGCAGCTGGACACCCCGGCCAGCTTCAGTGAGCCACCACCGCCGGTTGAACCGGCCGCCAGCGTGCCGACGCCAACAGCAACACGTGAGGGTCGGGACGAGGAAGGGGGAGGGAGGGGATAAACGGGGTAACTGGGACTTGGGAACCTGGAATAAAAGGGGTAATGGAGAAAGATGGCTATATCTCATCTATGCTGGATCTGTGCCAAGCTAACAAGATGTTATTCACGTATTTTGGTCATATCGGCCGATATTCTTAGTGAAGTCGGATAAAAACAATGAGTTACGAATCCTTTCAGCGAATTTGACTGGGATGTGCGAGGGATGATTCGAAACTGTGCATGGATGTCGCGTTTCATTCAACATTATTATTTTGCTGTCCCTAACCGCACTTGTCGTTATTTTGTTAGTTGTATTTTGTGGTGGTATACATAATGCTCTCCTGACTCGGTTCCTTACCTGCATCTCGTCCCTCTCAACCTGTCACCCCAGATAATCCCCTCTCTGACTGTCTGACGCCTGCGTTCCTCTCCCTGTCGCCAGCTCACGCGTGGGAGCACGAGCCGCCGGCACGAAAGGACAGCAGCGTGGTACAGATGGAGTCGGGCAGCGCCTTCCACCGCGAGCTCAGCGCTGCAGGTAACGTAGGGCGCGCCGCAGGTGTTGGGAATGGTTATGTGATTGAACTTTAACTCGCTACTGTGATTGAGCAACTAGGGCTGCTATTTAAATATCTTTCAAATGCCACCTAACTGCTCTACCCACGTTAGTCCTAGAAACCGAGCTGTTCATATTTCATAAGCCACTTTTGCCAAATATTTTCGACTGGACTCTTTCTTAATGCAAACTGGTAAAGAAAGAAAGGTAACTTGCTTGTAATTCATAATCCAATGAAAACTTTTTTCGGTAAATAAAAGCGTGCATAATAAGTGCGTTACACACGTCCTCTCATTCCATGCAAGCTTAGCGTACGTGATAACATACTCCGTTTTCTCCCTTTCCGTCGGATCGCCCCATGTGTGACCCGCCGCTCTGCCCCCTTCCAGCGGCGGAGAACCGCCGATTCCTGGAGGAGAGTCGCAGCCTGCTGGACTCGGACAGCTCGGAGAACAAGTACCGGCGCCGCTCGGCGCTGGAATGGTTCCAGCGCTGGTGGAGGTCAGTAAATACCGTATCGCAGCGTCTCGGGAGTTGGTGGTGGGTGGAGGGATTTGGTAGAGGGGCTAAATCACAGCAATATGGGAAATGTCGCAGGATAAGACCTGGCCAGATCAGAGGGACGGGGCTGTCGTAAAGGGGCTGAATCACAGCGACACGAGATGGCAGCCTCGGAGAAGGTAGAGGGACGGAACTGTCGTGAGTAGGGGTTCGTATCAGATCGGAGCAGGACCTAACTGAGGAAGGCGAGGTGGACTCCGCCACTCCGAAACCGCTTTATGTGCCGATTTCGCCGACCTTGAAAATCAGTTACAAAGAGTACTTATCGATCACCCTAGGACCCCGCTCGTCATCTGCGGTGATATAAACTGTGACCTGCTGAAGAAAGAACCCAACTTTCGTGCACGACAGCATCTCAGCAGCTTCCTATCGGACTACTCCCTAGACCAGCTAGTAACAACCTCGACTTTCACTTCCGGTTCGCTCCTTGACGTGTGTATGGTGAACAAAGTGGACCTCTTCTCTAACACCCGTGTTGAGTTTTGTCATTTTAGTCCGCATAAATTTATTAGCGTAGATGTCAACGTCCCCAAACTGCGTCCGAAGCCTACAATCATCTCAGCTCGTTCGCTCAACCGCGTTGATGTCACTGCCCTTAATTCTGATCTGGAGCTTGTCGACTGGGAGCCTGTGTTTACCGCCGCGACTGTTAGTGATCAGTGGGATGCATTCGTGTCCAACTTTTTGCCTATTATCGACGACCACGCCCCACTCAAGCGCATTACCATTCGGAACCCCACAGCGCCCCCGGCCTCTGCTGTCACACGGAACCTTATGTCCCAGCGCCGCGCCTCGCTACGACTGTCCGGTCGTCAGTCGACAGCTTACAAGGAGCTGAATCGCTCTGTTCGGGCCGCGCTGCGTCGCGACCGGCGAGAGGAGCTACAGAGAAATATCTGCGAGCGGGGTCCCAATAAGGTCTGGCAGTCTATCAGGACAGTTGTAGCAGGGAAAAAGGACGGTCCTAGTGTGCAGCCTAATTTACCCGCCGATGAACTGAATTCATTTTTCGTCTCTGTCGGACCTCGCATCGCTGCGGAGGTCCGGTCTCTTAACACCGCTACCGATCTGAACGTTCGCCTCCCCCGGGTCGGTGCATGTCGTTTTCAGCTCCGCGCGGTCACTCTCGGCGAACTTGGTCACACTATCTTCGGCATGCGCAACTCAGGCGCCAGTGGGACTGATGGCATTTGCATCCGAATGTTAAAGTCCGGCTTCTCAGCTATCGGTCGCGTCATACTTTACATTATCAATACGTGTATTACCAACTCCGATATCCCCGATTCCTGGAAACATTCCACAGTCCACCCCATCTTCAAATCAGGCAGCCCCTCGGATCCCACCAACTTTCGACCAATCTCATTAGTCCCCGTGATTATGAAGGTTGTGGAACGCCTCGTACATCAACAGCTTTACCACTACCTCTCAAATAACTATCTCCTTGCCTCCTCGCAGCATGGTTTTCGCCCCCGACACTCCACAGAGACCGCTCTGCTGTCCGTCACAGACCAAATCCTCGCAGCCTCTGATAGGGGAGAACTTTCACTGCTGTGTCTCCTTGACTTAAGCAAATGCTTTGATGTCATCGACCACGAACTTTTACTTCAAAAACTGGCCATGCACGGGATCGAGACCTCCTGGTTTTCTGCTTTTCTCACGGGACACACCCAGAGCGTGTCCCTATCTAATGGCGCCGGAGGTAGAGTACTGTCTCGGCCGCTTCCAAATAATATGGGTGTCTTCCAAGGATCTGCCCTGGGACCGTTACTCTTCACCATATTTTCGAACAACCTCTCGCTATACGCAGGTGACGCCACCGTTTTCCAATATGCGGACGACACCCAGGTTCTAGTGAGCGGCCGTGCCGACGACCTCAGATCGCTTATCTCTCGCATGGAAGCTTCACTCGCATCAATCAGTGACTGGTTCTGTCTTCACGCCCTCAAGCTAAACGCAAACAAAACGCAACTCATGGTTTTTGGCAGCAGACAAAATTTACGGAAGGTACCCGACTTCAGCGTCTCTCTTCGTGACTCTGTGTTGCAGCCAAGCGAGCAGGTGGGGAATCTGGGTGTTGTCTTTGACAGCGCCCTGTCCTGGGAAGCACATGTGTCCGAGCTTAGTCGTCGGTGTACTGGCTTGTTGATCGGACTGTCTCACGCACGAAATTGTCTCCCTGACGGTGTCATTAAAGTTCTCGTGACATCTCTGGTCATATCACGAATCAACTACTGCCTCACTGTGTACGGTAACGGGACCCAGAAAAATTTTGACCGACTCCAGAAAATTTTGAACTTTGCCGCTAGAGTGATCTTCGGACGGCGTAAGTTTGACCACGTCTCGGACCTGCGCGACAGACTTGGCTGGCTATCACCAAAATCCATGTCAGATTACCTGACACTCACGATCGCGCAAAAGGTCATTAAGCATGAAGAGCCCGAGAACCTCGCTGCACTGTTCGTCCCTAATCAAAATTTTCGAGACAGGCACACACGGCAGGATCATCTCCTTCATCTTCCCCGACCGAGGCTTGAAACCGGAAAACGGCGTTTCGAGTACCGCGCCGCGGCGCTGTTAAATAGCCTCCCACCCCAGGTAGTGCAGCTGCCACCTGCCAGCTTCGCCCGGTCTGCCAGGGCCGCGCTGATTAACAAATCCCCGCTACGCCGCTGACGAGTCTGTTTAGTAGTAGACGAGGCATGCCGCCAATAGGTGGACGATCTGTTTGTGCTTATGTATATATATATATATATTGTTTGTCTTATGTACATATGTAGATGATTATTGTCGCGACCCCCATCGATGGATGACTGTCGTCTAGTGCTGAGTGTTCTTCCCCCTGCCCGCATGACTGTTACCCATTATACTCGGATCTAAGCCGTAATCGCCACGCCATATGTGGAAGGCTTTTGGTGTCAATACATACATACATACAGACTGCCTTGAGAGGCCGGGCCAAATTATAGCTTATACGGGCCGGATCTCTAAGATTTTGGGGGAGGCTACGAGGGAATGATGTCAGGGCAGCGGCAGGAGTAACAGCTCTACTTCAGCCCCTGCTGGTGCTTGTCATGGCCACGCTGTCTTCTCCACTCAGTCTCCCCGCTCCTTGCTGGCAGGCTAATGAGCGGTCCGCCGTCCCGGCCGCGCGCCGGCGCCATCTACCGGCGCTATCTGATGGTTCTAGTTCTGGTCGTGGTGGCGCTGGTAACGTTCGTCTCGGCTATGCGCTGGCTGGCGGCCGGCTCAAGTTCCGACGACGACCCCATGTTCGACCCGCACTTCAACCCCAACATCCACGTGCGGGAATAGAGACATACCTCCTGGCGACTGACTCGGCTGAGGGAGTGACGATCACGTCATCATCCGTTAAATCCAATGACGTCAGTCGTCAGCTGTTGTGCGTCGGTTGGTCCGTGGTCTTTGTTGCTCGGTTGCTGCGGGAATCCATCCCGGGTCGATTTGCTTCCGTTCCTTGGGTGGGGAGAAAGTATTTCCACTATGTTCTATTAAAAGATTAGAGCTGCAGAGTGCAGACTGCAGATATGCTAGCGTGTAGGTATGCATGCTCGACGAAGGCGGAATACGACGTGGATTCGAACATGGATTCGGTGCGTAATGTGATACACCGAGTCGTATACAGTGGTTTATATTTGTTGTTTGTTTATATTTAACTTAGATGAGTGGGAGAGGGAGGGTGGGTAAGGACTATTTGGGGTGCTGCTACGTTAGTGTGTATACGTGTTTGAGGAGAATGTGAAGCCTCTGGACGGTTACCATGGTTACGTCGTCTGGTTACCTTGGCTACGACCGATGGAATGCACCCAGTTTATGGCGGACGGCAAATATATTATTTTAATCGTAATCGTGAGTTCTGGTGTTGTGACTTGCGTGGAAATGAGACATTGAAATCATGCTGACATCTTATTCAAATCATTGGAGGTCTTATGTGTATTACCGTCCTGAAGCTCGTTTCGTTTCACAGTAGAAGTGCGGCGCACGGTTTCATTCCTGGGAGACGTTGGCCAATTCGCTACTATCGTTTTCTGGGGACAGGGTAATCGGTGACACCAGCGCACTGGTCTCTACGACAACCATCGGCACCGCATCTGGATATCGAATCGACTGGAAAACTCTGCTTCAATGACAGCAGGCTGAGCTGCGTAATTGTGAAAAATTATCTAGTGCCCACCGATAAAAAAGGTCACATTGGCTATAAATCTGAGATGCTAGAAGCAAGTGAACATATGTATATATAATGAGTGTATATATATATAATGATATGTATATATAATGACTGTATGTATAAATGAGGTTGTGATGTCCCATTCTTTTCTTAAAACTAATGGACAAAAAACATGATATAGGCAGGGGTGGACGATTGTGCCGAGTTGGGGTAGCACGAGACTTCCCAATTCCACGCCGGCTGCGCCGGCTTGGCTTTGGAGCCGCACCAGACGGCGGAGGTCAAGGTCACCGCTAGGGCGGCGGCGGATTTGCTGCGCCCGTGCAACCCCAACTCGGCATATTTCTCCACCCCTGGGTATAGGGCCAGTTGCTAGAAAAGTCATTCATTGGATCGTTACGGTGTATTTTATGTACCTAAGATCCGCTCTTATATGTACTACCTTAATTCTTATCTATGATACAGCCTGAGGTCGTAAACTTTTTTTTTTAGATCAGATGTGTGGTCTGTCATAATGGAAATTAATTGAAGATTCATAAGCATACAGGTTGGAAGGGTCGGGCTACGTATCGATAGCATACACTGCGCGTGGCGTTGGTGACTGTCAAATCGTTCTGTGCTCCTCTACCAATTAATACCTATAGCTACACGGTTACTGGGGTGCCGCCACCCCGCGAGGGTCGCGGTGGTCTAAGTAGAACAGATAAGATATATTGATGGAGGTCTGGACTGTGTACCCCGGCCCGCAATCCCCAAAACCTGGCAAAGCCCCTGCGAAGCCTAGAACGGCAGCAAATGTCCAGCATGTCCATTGTCCAGGTATCGACGCCATAAGTTGATGACGCTACTCAAAGTTATTATTCCTGTCGCGAGATGGCGCTAGTATAGGCGCCTGAAGTTATACTGTCCCGCAATATGCTGGCAGTAGGCGCCTGAAGATATGCTGTACCGCAATGCGCCAGCAGAAGGCGCATGACGTTATGCTGTGCTGCGAAACCATATTTTTCGTGAACCGTGATCATGATATGCAAATCAAAGCCATATGGTACCCTCAGATAACGGAAGTTACGGTAGAGCGGAAATCCATGGAGTTATGGTTAATACAGTTCCGAATATGTTTGGGTTTATAACTGGGTACGTAGGTAAGGCCACAATTTCCCATGTTTTGTCGACGCCTTGGGTATTGTTGAAGGATAATTTGATAAAAAAAGAGTGATAAAAGCTATTGCTAAACATCCTACACTGTTGTCGGGTACCATCTTTACACTTAAGTGTACGACATAACGATATTGTGCACAACAGAGTTCATTGTTCTAATTTTACCCGTGTAGGATATTTTGGAATAGATTTTGGTTAAACCGTCTTTTAGGAGTTAAATGACTTTCAGTAAACATTTTTAGTCCTAAGTAGTGAGTAGTACGTACCAGTAGCGGTGGAACACCTTCAATTAGGGGGGGGGGAGGCACTGCCGACTTTTGGTCCCATTCTTTCCATGCAACGCCCATAGGGCTAATGTTAAAATGTCACAATCAAAGGGTGGTACGGTGCCCCCCCCCTCCCCGTTCCGCCGCCTATGGTACGTACTACGTATAACGTACTTTATCATACCAGCAGCAAGGCTTGCTGTGGACTGTGGAGTGTGCTTTAAGAAACCCAAAACAATGGACTCCCATTTTATGTTAACAATGTTATAACTTTTACTGCATGCTGGCGTTACTGGGTAGTGGGTAACCTAATACGGGTCATGGACTCCTGATGGTAATGTCGAGCGCCGCATTACCACCCACCGCAAAATTTATGACACCCGCATGTTCAATCCAAAGCCTTTATTTCAAGATATCCTGACTCATGTCTCGCTAGGTATGTCCTCTTCGTGGTTTTATCTTACCAATCATAGAAAACATTCAAACAAAACAAAACAACGTCGGGCGATTCGGGATAACGGTGCCCAGGTGACAGGTTGCGTTTATTTTTGATCCTTCACACGCCCATGCTGCTTCAGCCCCGTGTGAAGCCGGGACAGCGGGGGTAGTTGGGACAGCCAGGCCGATCCTTGTCCTTGTTGGACCAGCTGTAGCCCTTTACACAGGCAGCAAACTTGACGGCGTCCTTCTTCAGCAGGGGACAGCACGCCTGCCGAGATTTTCTCAGGCAGTTTCTGCGCAATTCCTCCTTTTCCTGGAATGGAACGACTATATGAGAATGGAAACACGAAACAGTTGGATAGGCCTAGTCATAGACTTCTCTATATATAGAGAGAGAAGTCTGTGGCCTAGTCTTTTCACGTTTCCTCGATAGGTTACGATATTTTTGGGTACATTGTGCAATGTGCAGTTTGATTTATTTTCTAGTTAGCTCGATTGAACGATTTCAGCGAACTGAAAACATATTGTACGATTCCAATAAAAAACTTCTCAAAACACAGCATGCATTTTGGATAACATGTTTTTCACCCCGGTTTACATCAAAGATGGACTGTCGTTTGTTCCTGAACTGGTCGGTTTCCTCCTCGTAGTCGACTTCTGAGAGGGTGTCCGTGTCTTCTGCTGCGAACCAGCTGCCCTGGCCATGTGCGACGGCGAGCGCCAGCAGAAGGGTAAAAGCCAACAGGGCCAGTCTCAGCGACATCGCTGGAAAGGCGGTCGGGACGTGATATTTTGCATTACCTATATCGCCTGCAATACGTAGATACTCAACTTTTTTCAGATAGAGAAAACAAGTCTACAAACAAAGTCTAACGTGTAGTATCTTTAGCCGCAAAAACAATGGGGGTATACCACCCTCGTGGCGCAGTTGGCAAGTGCGTTCACGTTTGGTGTGGGAGGTCCTTGGATCAAAGCTGACCTCTGGCAGCGTTTTCCTCGGCCGGCTCCTACCCAGGAGATGGCAGTAACTGGGGAGTGTTCGCTCGGTCGTGGGGATTACCGCTATGCCAGCCAGCGCCCCCGGCCGCAGGTACACGGGCCTGATCCGCCTTTAAACAGATCCTTCGGTCCGGTGACATGTCCCGAGGGCACGGCCTCGCTTCATGTCCCGGAGCAGCCCTCTGACCTGCCGGGCCCGAGAAATCGGGATAGCCCCAGCGTGCGCACCAGTGCGGTGCCACTTGGGGTGCGTGACAGGAAGCGTGCGGTCAAGGCTGTCCCGCGTAGCGGGTGCCGAAAACGATTCGTACCACTGCCGTGTATATAGTGTACTAACCCAGTATGAATGTATGCTACTAACGACAAAAGCCCGAGTCGGGCAACAAAAATATTAAAAAAAAACAATGGGGGTACAGGTCGAGTATAGGTAGTTCGGCCGTAGGAATGCCTACGGCGAAAAATAATCTACCGACATGAATACACCTTACACGTTTTATTGAAGGTCGATCATTCAACCATCGGTATTGAAGCAAGTCCGGCCAGAACATGATGTAATTCCTTTCACGAGTCCTTGTATGCGACAGACGATGAGACGAAAATGGCATTTAAAGACTTCAGTGAAATATATGTGTCCTGAGCATCTTTAGGACGCATTTGGAGGTAAAGTTTGTCGGATTACGTCAAGCCACGGAGCTACAACTTTATAGAGGGCACGACAAATGATAATGACAATCGACATCCAAGCAATTTTCGCCGAGTTATTGAAAACGTGACAATATGTTTTGCTGCCGATCGGCGACCGGCCAACCAAATTTATCAAACTAGCCTATGCCTACGTAAAAACTTAATTTGAATCAAAATATAGTCAGGGTAACGATTAACGAATATGGCTTAGGATGACCCTTTGACCCAGTGGCGTATCCAGGGGGGAGGCCAAGAGGCCATGGCCTCCCCCTTTGGCATCAAACATGCAAGTGGGCCCTTAGGGTCACTTGAGTGCAGTGACGTACCCAAGGGGGGCCACGGGGGCCCCGAGGGGCCCCTGGTCACTTGAGGGGCCCCTGGTTATCTGAGGGGCCCTTGGCTACCTAAAGGGCCCCTGGTTATCTGAGGGGGCCCTGGTTACCTGAGGGGCCCGTGGTTATCTGAAGGAGTCCTGGTTACCTGAGGGGCCCTGGCTATCTGAGGGGCCCCTGCGTTACCTAAGGGGCCCTTGGTTATCTGAGGGCCCCCCGATTACCTAAGGGGCCCGTAATTACCTGAGACCCCCTGGTTATCTGAGGGGCCCCTGGTTACCTGAGGGGCCCCTGGTTATCTAAGGGACCCCCAGCTACCTGAGGGGTTTCTGATCCCTTGGGTGGCCCCTGGCCAGTGTCCTGAAGAAACCCTGGTCGCCCAAGGGGCCATGTTTACCCGGGGATTACCTGGTTATATGAAGGGCCCCTGCAGTCACATGAAGGCATTTAGGTACCCGTGGAGCCCCTGGTATAACCGGCCCCCGGTTATCAGAAGGTCCCCTGGTTACCTGGAGGGCCCCTGGTCAATTGAAAGGCCCCTGGTCACCTGAGAGGCCCCTGATCACCTGAACAGCCCCTGATCACTTGGATTCAACGGCATAGCCAGGGGCGAGGGGCACATGTCCGTTATAAGGTTTAGGGTCCCCTCGGGCCCGAGGGACCCTGCGGTGCCAATTGGCAGCAGAGGGTTCGCGCTGGCCACGCTTCAACTGGAAAGGACACCACAGGGCTTGTGAGAACACCCCATGGTCTCTTGTGTAGTCACACTTATCTCCAGAAGGGCCCCACGCCGGGTTCTGAGGGACCTTGCCGGCCTCTGAGGGCCGTTGCCGGCCAATCAGGGATCAGCTGTAAGGGCCCCATACCCGTTTGTTATGGCCCCACGGTCCACACCAGTTTCTGATGGCCTTCACTGCCACCTCTAAGGGTCCCACACCAGTGCCTCTTAAGGGCCTACTTCGGTGGCTCTGAGGCGCCTCTGGCGCCTCCGAGGGCCCTAGGCCAGCGCATCTGACGACCACTTACCAGCGACTCTGAGGGCCTCCCGGCCTCTGAGGGTCCCTTGCCGGCCTATGAAGGGCCACCAGTAACTTTCAGGGTCAAACTGCGTCAAACTATCTTAAAATGCCATTTGATGGCCCTCATAGGCCAGCGTAGGGCCCTTAGAGGCCAAGGCTGAGCCCCCAGAGGCTAGCGTGGAGCCCTCAGAGGTCGCTTTGGCGGCCATAAAAAAAAAAGCTTAGACTTGAGCGTGGGACCCTTTGACGCTGGCGTAGGGCCCTAAGGAGCCAGCGCTCAGCCCTCTAAGGCCAGCGTGGGACCCTCTAAGGCCATTGTGGGGCCTTCTAAGGCCAGTGTGGGACCCTCTATGTCCAGCGTGGGGCCGTCGATGTCCAGCATTGGGTCTTTTAAGCCCAGAGACATGGGACCTTCTTAGGTCAGATTGAGGTCCATTGGCCACGGAGACCAGCTTGGGGCCCTCTGAAGACAATGTGGAGCCCTTTTACATAGGCAAGTGTGGGGCCCTCTGTGACCAGCGTGAACCCTCTGAAGCCAGCGTGGGGCCATCTGTCATCTGACTCCAGACTTGAGAGGCTGGTGCTTGGCCCTCAGAAGCCAACGCGGGCCTTCATAGGCTGGCGTCGGGCCATTAGAGACTACCTCGAGGGCCTCGGCAGCCACTCTTCAGACCTTATGCATGTTTGGGACCCCTGAGGCCCTAAGGTAGGGGTGGCCCTTAAAGGCATGCGTGGGACCCTCAGGGGACATCGTGGGCTTCTAGAGACCGGCGTGGGTTCGAGAGCAGCATAGGGACATCAGAGCCTGACTCAAAGGCTCCCAAGAGCCAGCGGGGGCCCTGTGAGGTCAGCCATAGCATGGGTCTCCTGAGGCCATTATGGGGCCCGGAGGCCAGCATGGTTCACTCTGTTGCCGGTGTGGGGCTTTCAGAGGCCAGAATGAGCCTTCAGAGGTCGGAGTGAGGCCAATGTGGGCGACATAGAGCCATCAGAGTCTAGATAGAGCTCAAACCGAGTCGGGCCCTTCTAAAGTTAAGGGTACCAGCCCTCAACCAGCGCAAGACACTAAGATGAGACTGACATCTGCCCTTTGAAAAATGTTACAATCGTTAAAAAAAATTGGCAAAGACATTTTGCTTTTGATGATCTTTAGTGACCCTAGCGACGACCAAAGCAAAAAAAAAAAACTATATGCCTACTGCTGAAATAAATTGTACGCTACAGAGCTATCGATATCGATGCCTTTTTCGCGCTTCAACATTTTTTTTTTTAGATTGCCGAGTGTGCCTAAAAAGGCTCCCTCACATGGCAAAAGTGGCAAAGAACCGCACCTGGGCGTGAGTTAAGTACCTACATACGCTATACTACTGGGGCCCCTAAGGTAAGGATGGGGCCCCTCGAGCAGGTTTGGCCTCCCCCTTTCCAAGATCCTGGATACGCCACTGCTTTGACCCAATATGATATTTAATGATACGGCATTTGTTTCTAAGAATTGATTGACTCTAGTCTCGTCAGTTGCACTCATTTTGCCCGAATAGGGGAAAGTGGGGTAAGACGGTCAGGGTAGGTAAGACGGGCACCCCTTCTGCAGACCAAACCAATAGCGCTACGAGCAAGAAAAGTTAGGACCAGAATTGCCTTTCCCACTACACACCACCATTCAAGTCTGGTGAATTTGTGTTCAGTCGATAATCTTTTATTTTGATTTCTTTAAAACACTCATTTCATTGAAAACATCCATAATGTATTGTGCAAGCTTTTGTGTACAGCACTATAGAGTTAAAAACTCGCAATCACTTGTGGTACACTCATATGCCAACAGTGTTCATTTACGGCGGATTTGCTTTGTCTGCATCAAATTGTCCACAGCGAAAAATCGTGCTGAACTTCTGACATTGAGTTTGGGGTAAGACGGGCAACTATGAACCCAATGGGTCTGTAATGGTGAAAATATTTTTGTTGCTGTAGGAAAAAAGAAGCATTTCTAATAAGAATATGTTCGATTCCGATACTCACAGACATGTTAGCAATATTCCTTCGGCACAGTTTATTCTCGAATAATGAATGTGAAAAACGGTTCTACATGGCTTCTGAACTAGGGCCTATATAGGAGCATACGCCTTCTGCACGAATCTCGTATACTGCCATTTCCGAAGCACTTGAGACCAACGAGCGACTGTATAAATGCGGCTAATCTCGGGCATTTGTTGCGAGCTGCGCTGATCGGTGAAAGAAGCTGGCCGTCTTGCCCTACCCATGTGACCGTCTTACCCCATGGGGTGGGGTAAGACGGGTTTTTGCAAGGTTTTGCAAAAATAGCTGCAGTTTATTTGTTGAATCAGGTCTAAGTCTCATCTTCTGGCAAATGAAAGTAAAATGTCTGAAAAAGGTTTTCACCCAGTTTCCCGTTTCTATGATGTTTCTAACCGGCCGAAAAATGGCTCCAAAGTTAAGGTGCCCGTCTTACCCCACTTTCCCCTACCATTCGACGTCCGCGTCCTCTCAAGGTGCATATTGACCATCGAAATTTATCACATATCTCGCGAATAGTTTAGCTAAGGGGTTAAAAATGTTAATCGATCCTTCTTTGACATGTCATGAGTTAAATGCGTTCCTTTATTTCATTTTCGTGCTTCATGCCAGCTTCATAGCGAGGAATTGTCAATTCAATAAACAAGACGATGATTATACGAGTATGCAAGGTCCGTATCAATTAGGCATCAACCCCCGG